TCCCTTACACACTGTGAGTGTTGGACGGGCCTGGCTTTTTCCTGATCTAAATTATATTTACACCAAACAACATGCCAGTGATTGAAAGCATGCTCTCTGGAGATGGAATTCCTGGGCTGATATATCCTGAGTATGCTATTTCTTACCCTCTCTCTCTTTTGGCAAATTATTTTACTTTTGACCTTGGTTTTCTCAAAGTACAAAATGATGATACTAATAATTAACTCATGGAGTTATTTTAAGTCAAAAACATAATATGTATGAAGTGCTTAGAATAATGCCTTACAAATAATATGTACTCAGTATATGCTATTTTTGCTCTCCTTGCAACAAATCACTGATATATTTGAGCAAGAAGCACTGGCTTTTGAATCGACTTACCTAAGCTCCAAAACAGCTCTGGTACTGTTTCTTTCCGCCTAGCACTCCTATGATCCTATGAAGGCCTCCTTTTCCATATCTTTTGTTCCTGGAGACCCCTGAGGTTTAAGATTATATGTATCTTCTTTTCTTAGCAATCAATATCCATTAGGTATAGCTCACAATTACAGCTTTTCCTGGAGAAAGGTATTAATGGATTCTGTCAAGACCAGGAGACAGCCACTTCCCTACATAATGGCTCTTGAGTTTCCTAAAAGCCTGAGCTTCCGCTAGAAAGTGATCAGGAAGCTTCCAATAAGCTCAGGAGTCTAATCAATATTTCTCACTCTTGGGTGGTGATTAGTAGGGGGGCATCAATTGTCATGAATGACCCACCACAAAATCGTACGCGTCTCACTGGCTGCGGCTTTTCCTGACATTTACTATCCATTACCATTATGTATCCCTGGAGAAAGCGGGAACTCTGTCCTATTCCATGGCCACAGCAGCTAATTTGCTGGCCTCCAAAAAACTGAATAAATAAATGAACAGAACATATAAAATTAAAAAACAAAAGCAGAAGTAGACCCCGACAGTGGTTTTCAGGAAATTGGGGTTTTGAGGGGTTGTTGAAATGTTAACTTCAAGACGACTGGACTTCAGAACTGAGCAAATAGGATTTATCTTTCCAATTTAAAACCCCATTCAAACTACACAGGCTGTCCGCCCAGCTTCCTTTGGTTCAGGGGCTCCGTCTCTGGTTTTCTACCCCAACCCACAACCCTAGTGAGAAAAAAGTGGCATCTGGCAAAATTCTCCCAGGGTTACGTCTTTAATAACCAGGAACAGAGTTTAACAAACTTCTTGGTAAGTTTATTTCAAGTCAGGATTTTGAGGGTCTAGAGTGTGAAATCCTTGAGCCGGTTTCCAGCTCACAGAAGATTTAGTTTGCTCTGTGTCCACCTAGTGGTCGTTCTAGGAACTTCATCGATGGGTTGTGGGGTGCGGACTGCCCCGCCGCACATTTGCGCCGGGTTAGCGACGTGATCACCGCTTTTTTTTTTTTTTTTTTTTTTTTTTAAAGAATGTGACTTCCCAATTTTAGCACATCCCAAGCGCATTTTTAAATTCTATGATCATTTGGCAGCACAAATGCCTTAAGAAAAAGGCAACGGTGTGGTTGTGCGGGGCTGGTTGGTGTTTAGAATAATGGATGCTGTATGGGGGAATGCTGGTTAGGTTTGGTTTGGTTCTGGATCGCCATCATTGCTCTTCCTGACAGAACTGACGTGAACATATACTTGAGATTCGTTCGCACAGTAGTATTTAGGTAATATACTGCAATTCTGATTTATTTTTCTGAGTGTTTTTTAAAAGGAAAACACTTTTATTGTCCACCCTCTATCCCTGTGATGTACAGCCACTAATGTCTCTGCTCAGGTTTTAATTCTTATTTTTGCATTTTACACTATTTTTCTATGGGTTACCCTGGGTCTACTTCACTCAGTGGCCAGTGTTTTGGGAAGAGGTTTTGCTCAGATTCTGTGAACCCGTAAAACTTGGGCCCTCAGTCATGATCTGTGGGTGGGTTGGGGAACGTAGTCAAAAGTTCTGTCCGTTTTCACTCGTTTCTTGGATTTTGGATTTTCCTCTCAGAGGTGCTCTCTGGGGACTCAACCCCATGCCAGCCTTTCTCCAGTCAGCCAAAGGTTGTGGAGAGCTCCTCACACCTGCCATGCTGCTTTCATTCCAAGGTGCCCCCACCCCCACCCCGATCCCATTTTTGGCTGGTCCTCTCCTTGCCCGTGCTGAGACCACCATCTCAACCCAATACAGGGGCATGTTTGTCCTAATTGTCCTTTAGGTATCATCACTATTGCTGATAAATCATCTGAGGTCTCATTTCCCAGCCCAAACCAGCCCACTATCCTTAAAAAACGTTAATACAAAATTAGATAAAAGGCCTTAGAAGGGGCAGTAAGATGAGATAGTCCCTGAAGCTCAAGCTTCTGAGGCTTCCAGATGAATCCACCTCTGTCCACGGCAGAGGGTAGAGTGGCCCAGCTGCAGAGAGTAACTCACTAGCCCCAAGCATAGCATCCCAGAACTGTAACAAGCTCAGTCTTAATTGAGGCAATTTCCAGCATCACAAAAGGTTCTCTGTCCGTGTATGGGGTGGGACAGCAAGAAGTTCATGGGGCTGAGGAGGAAGACAGAGGTCCTCAGATTGTAAGTCCAGCAGGTCTGTGCATTCACAACAGAAGTTCTGTCTGCAACTGTTCATTCAAGGGAAAAGACTCAAACTCTCAGAGGTGACAAGAGCCAGAAATATTAGGGCTATGAAATCATAATTGGCTCCATAACAAGGATGGCAATGGACCTACAAGGGAGCCACTAGTAGAGAGAAGCCATGAAGATGCTTCCTAATCTGCAGACAATATTGGAAGGAGAAGATCCCTAAATAGAACACATAGTAATGACATCTGAAAGAAGTGTAGGTCAAGTCTCTGGGGGCTTGGATAAGTAAAAGGGACAAGCATGGAGAATACTCCCTAAAATAAAAAAGGAGCTTAATTGTCAGAAAGCTTCTGGATTTATTTGAAGAACAGGGGAGAAGATTAGAAATCCAGAGTGATTATCTAGGCAGGAGGCAATGAAGCAGGAGGACTCAGGTGGTACCAGACATAATTGGAGAGAGAGAAGAAATTAAAAAAAAAAAAAATCAAATCACTAGAAATTAGTAGTTGGCTGAATGTGGAACCCAAGGCAAAGGGGATGGTGAGTTTTTTGGAAGAAATATGACAATAAGAAAAACAGTGAATCATGAAGGTGATCCTTTTATAGGGGGAATAACATATCACCAAAATACATATTGTTCATCAACATATCGCTTGTTGGAGCAAAATACAAATACGTGATTGTCCCTTCATTTTGGACATCAAAGGACTATTGTTTGCTTTAATGAAGCCAGTATATGTGACACAGAATTTCTTCTTTTCACAAATTTGCATAAAACATTTAAATTAGCTTCTTTTACTTGTAATATGCAATTGCCAATATTCTTTCTTTAAAGATTTTATTTATTTGACAGACAAATCACAAGGAGACAGAGAGGCAGGCAGAGGGGGGGGGTGGGAAGCAGGCTCCCTGCTGAGCAGAGAGCCCGATGTAGGGCTGGATCTCAGGACCCTGAGATCATGACCTGAGCTGAAGGCAGAGGCATTAACCCATTGAGCCACCCAGGCGCCCCACCAATATTCTTTCTTAAATGAATGTTTTTAATTAGAAGAAGGAATGTTTATAAAAGCTCATTAGGGGCACCTGGGTGGCTCAGTCCATTAAGCATTCAACTCTTGATTCCAGCTCAGGTCATGATCTCAAGGTTGTGAGACTGAGCCCCATGTCGGGCTCCATGTTGGGCATAGAGCCTGCTTGAGATTCTCTCTTTTCCTCTACCTCTGCCTCTCTCTATTCATGCACACTCTCTCAATCTCTCTCTCAAATAAATAAATAAATGCTCACCTGGGACAAAGTACTGAGTCCCTGCTGTCTTTTGCTGATCTCATGCTGTCCTCCCATCAAGTAGTCAATATAGCAAGAAGAGTTTCATCAAGAACAACCAGCTTTCTTCCTTGATTTGCAGCCTTTATTTATTGAACTAGAAAATTCTCATTTCATACTTGAAAGCTTCATTTTAGTAAACGAAAAAACAATTGCATAGAGCTTTAAGAGGTAACAAAAAGAAAATAAAGAACACAAGAGAACATGTTGGGAAACACTGGTATAAGAAACAGCTGAAATAATTCCTGGGACAGTCCCACATACCATCATCAGGGAGGGGTAGAGAAGGCACAGAAATTACATGGTAAATCCTCGAATCTGTGTATTATAAAGTTCTCACAAACACTTCACGGGAACTGTGAGTATTTCTTCTCAGACAGAGTTAATTTTCTGAAATTCTTATAACTCTGTGACTTCTGTCAGGTTCATAAGGAATTCTAGAACTTTGGGAGTTTAGAATTAGATTCCAGGAATTTAACCAGGAGCACTTCATGTCTTCCTTTGCTGCTCCCATAATTTTAAGAACTACTCTGTAGTTGAGATGATTATTCTTCTACCTCCTTCACTGACAGGACATAAGCCAGACAGCCATCTACCTTTTAAATATTCGGTGGAATCAGATGACTTCTGCACTGAATTTCTTGGCATTTCTGCAGGAGAGAATTTCTTTTAAACCAAAAGTAGTGGTAATCATGTCAGATTCCAATTAAGGTAAGTAGTTTTATGTTCCCAAAGAAATAACCTTTCATAAGCCGTGTTTTGCTTCTTAGACTCAGGGGTGTAATTTCATATTCTCAAGGTTTTGAGTCTTTTTTAAGTAGCTAGATTGACATTTTTTAGGAAAACACTAGATCAAGGAGACTATTTTTACATTAGGCTAAAAAGCACTGGAAAAACTTTAAAGAATTTTTTTGTAGCATATGTCTACACTAAAGGTTGTAAATTCTATAGGTAAATATTACTGAAAGAAGTTGTTTCTTGTTAACATTTTCTTTCTTGATAAGAACTTTTGAAAAACTGCCAGAAGTTTGTGTAGCAAATACCTAGGGAAGGTTGGGAAGATCTTTCAGCCAGAATTCTCAACCTAGCCTTGCACAGCCAGTTTGGATATCCAATTTCAAGCTCTAAATGGAAACACATGGTTAAAAAGAAGTTATTTTCTCCAAAGTCTATAAGCATGTTATGTTTCAGTTACTTATTTTTATCTGCTAATTACAGTAACTTTTCTGGATTATGTTGTACTACATTTATTCATAATTTTCCATATCTCCTTAGCCATGGCTAATTAAACAGTCATTATAAGGTGAACAAGCCTATCAAGAAAATGGTTTTGTTTTTCATTACACGAAATCAAACAGTTTGCTTGCACTAAGGAGCAACTTTTTCCACTCTTCAGTATGAGACAGGTCCATCCTTATGAGTTGGAAGGACCATTAGAAATGTCCTTCCTTCCCCATCTCAACAGAGAAAGTGTATTGGGCAAGATCCCTTGTAAGAATATTTTGTGGGGGAAAGCTTCCTATTAACCAGTACATTGGAGGAACCCAACAGAAATCAATGAATGGATGAATGAACTCTGAAATGTAGCCAATGTTCATTTTTGTCTCTCTTTTATAAAAATCACAATTTTTTGATAAATTTTCTAACATATCCATAGCAATTTAAAAGTGAAATCATCCCTCAGATATAGTCAGTTATTGATTGGGTAAGTGACATGTTGATGAAACTATCATGAAATAGCTGTTCAGGAAGAATGGACCTTCTCTTTACCAGTGCTACTATGACCTTTAGAATCCTTCATGAAAACCCATCAGTGCGCATACCCTGGGCAAGAAAAGTTTGAGAAAGAAGTCTTGTTTTTGTTGTGTCTAATGTGTGTTGAGACTGACAATGTCAAATTCTAGCTTGCTCCTGTGGTCAGGTCAGAAACTCTTGGACTGAAACCTGCTTGGTGGAATCACTGTTAGAAATCTTAGCATATCAGAGAAAACATTTCCAACCATCTTATTCTTTTGGTAAGGACAAAAGGTGTTCCTACTCAATCAATGCATAGGTAAAGAACACAAAGAATGCTAACATTTGACAAGTTAAAAAATGTGTGTGGGGGTGTAGTACCATCTGTCACAGGAGCCTACCATTTTGGCACTTTGATTTGGATCAGCAATTCCTCTTGGATCTTTATTTGCAGGTTTCTGTAATAAATAAATTTTGTTGTGTCAGATCTCACTCATAGACATATACACACAAACACATACACATGCAGACTATCTCTTCCTGACAGATGAAAAATCTAAGAAAGTTTGTAAATTGCTATGGAGAGGACGGGAGGATGGTTCTGGCCAGTGAAGTCTTAGCAGAAACCATTTTTTTTTTTTGTGGTGGGTCTCTCCAACAGTGTATTTAGTAAGAGATTTCCAAACATTTTTCAAGAACTAGGGCTTTCATTGAGAAAACATTTCTGTTGAAATCCCAGTAAAAACAATATATAAAAATGGATTGGACTGGTTTTAAGTGGGGATTGGGGAGAAATGCTCATTAAGCTCCACCCTAACTGTAGGGCATACTCTGAGATCCTTCTGTGTTATGGGAAAATTCTGTGGAACCACAGACTGAAAACTATCTTAATCACACTCTTTAGCCATTAATAATGAAAGCATAATAAAAAATGTTGATTTGAAAAGAAATACATTGTCGAAAATCTTGGTGATTTCAGTGCCCAGCTCTGAATAATTGTTTTACTGTGGACCTTGAAGATACAGAGACTCTAGCAGTTCAGGAGATCCTAGAGATCCTGTAATAACTCTTTTTTGACTCAGTTTCTCAGGCATCTGCATGCTAATTTGGCTAGTGTGTTTCCCTTTCATTAATATTTATCAGGGAGTACACCTCAGTCAGTGGAAAGCCCTCAGGCTGATATGGCCCCATTGGAAGCCATCACTGGGTTTTGACCCTTGAAAACCTGGGCGGGGAATAGGGTAGGGTTTGTGAGACAGTTATCCCAAAATCACCATTTGAGGGCCAAAGAAACTCAGTAATTGTAATAAATAATGAGTTAATGCATTGTTTTAAAAAAGTCAAAACTAATTCCCAAGGGTTCAAGATGAACACAATGTCAATATTTTACCTAAAAGACCATGCATGACCAAGCATGATTTCCTCATGACCTTCTCAAACTAATTCAAGTCCTCCTGATAAGTGGGGCCTGTTCTATTTCTTCCTCAAATCAGACAGTGATATTATATTATTGGACTTATTCAAGGAACCAGCAAATGGTTAAGGGCACCAAAATTTTTATTGAAATGGCCACAGATCAGTACAAGCAACAGAAAGGAGATAAGGGACCATACCAGTGTGATGTAGTGTGGACTTGAAAAACTGGTTGGAAGCTGCTCCAAGGACTCTGCAGTTATTTGCTAGTGAAAAGAGATACTATTAACCTGCAATTAGTATTCAAGCAAGTATGACTATTTCCTAAGTGCTCAATATAAATTTTCTAACTATCTCTGGGATGCAACCTAGTAAATGTACAAATACTAAAACACATGGGAACAATATTCTTCCCTAGGTTATTCTCTTATAATGAAGGAATCTAAGAACTTATAAAACAAACTTATATTCGAGAAGAGTATGAGTTTCTTTATGAGTTATGATGAAAATTGCACAAGGCAAGTCTTTCAGCCTCCAAATCTTAATCAAATTGTCTGAATGTCTGAACTTCCATAACAAGCTCCATCCTTTTTGGACTTGGAAGGTCTTTGAGGACCTCCAGAACTTACTGTTGTAATACAGATAGGCTTGGATGAGGTTATCCTCTCTAAAGCATTTTCTGTTTGCCTCCAGTGGACATTAATATAACTAGAAAGCATGATCTGGTGGAAATAGGACCTGCCTAGGAGAGGTACTGGGTGGCAGAAGAAAAAAAAAATTAAGCATTATTAATGTAAGAGGGAAAGGACATCAAAAGACCTTTCCCAAAGCACAATTTTGCTGAAAACTGGCCGTTGAGGGGTGACTAATGTATCAAATAAACATCAGTTAAATTGCTGTTATACAATTTTCTAACAAATAATACAAAAAGCCTAAATGTGAGATTTGACACTATAATTCTCCTATACAATCTGTGTTTATAAACATATTAGGCACATATACCATTAATAGTGAATTTACTTTATTCATATATTGAAATATATTTATTAAGCTCCTCTTCTGTGTTCCCTCATTTAACTAAAATGCCAAAGCATTTAAGGAACTTGCAATCTAGAAATGGAAACAAATATGCCCCAAGCTCCATGTGAATCTCTGGTTGACTTCTGTGAATACTCATTATTGATCACATACTCAGGGCACTTTTCTCCTGACTCTTCTTCTGGAGCACAACTGTTTTTCATATTAATTCATGAAGCATGTTAACACACATTAAGCACTAAATATTTAGAAAACACTGTGATAAGTACCTTTACATAGTTTCTTAATTAAACCTCAAGGCAAATATACAAGATTTATATCAGCATCATGTTGTTCATATCACGAAATCTATGTGTAAGCTTAAAAAATTATCACACAATATTTTCTATCTATTCCAGTGGACAATTAAGACTTGCTTTATCATCTTGGTGTCATCAATGGCACAATAAAAAATATAAACAAATAAAAATAATAAACCATCACACAACCAGAGAAAGATTAACTAACCATCCTTTAATACTTGAGTACAAGCATTTCTGATATACTCTCATCTGTGTATTTCTGGGGGTTGAGTGGGACCATGTTCTGCATTATTGTGAAGAAACACAGGGTTTATGGGACATGTGGAGTTGGGGCAAAGCATTCAAAACCTTTGGAGCTTGTAACCAGACCACCACTAACAACAACAACAACAAATCCTAATTTAAAATACTAGTATTATCATATTCTCATTGGCATTTTCATGTAATAATGGTCAGCTAATACTTAACCTCTGAATTTAAGGCTTATAGTCCCTCCTTCAAGATAGTCATATTGGGTAATTTCATCAGCATTGTCTTATCAATAATGATTTCCTCAATGGTTAATTTTTTTTTAAGGGAATGAATTTGTAGCTTCTTAATTTGGACACTCACAGTGTTTTTCAATGAGCTGAAAGCACCAGAAATCATAGCTGTTGTTAAAGGCAGTTAACAAGCCACTAACTATGGGGACTTCTGCAAGATTGTTGGTTTTTCTCTTACATCTTCATATATTGCTAAAGTGGTTATTTCAACCAACTTTTTCCTTTCCTGTAAAATATGCACAAAGAAATGCACAAGTACTAAGTGTAGAGGATGGATTTTCACAAATGAGCAATGAAAGTTGCCAAAGTTGCCCAGAATCAAAAAATAAAACTTTATCTCTTTCTCAGAAGATTCTCTCTTCCCTGTGGTAATCACTACCCTGTCTTCTAATACCATAGATGAGCTTTGACAGTTCTTCAACTTGATATAAATATAAATATTTGGATTTGACATCTTCTGAACAGTGTGTTTGTGAGATTTATTCATGTGGTAAAGATCAGTAGTTCATTTATTACTCTTTCTCTGTAATTTCCGTTGTATGAATCTGTAGCATTTTGTTCATGCCTTTTACTGTTATTAGACATTTTTATTGTGTTCACTTTTTGCAAATATGCTATTGGAACACAATTGTAAATGTTTTCCCAAGGAGCTGCTGGGTCATAGGGTATATGTATGATCATTTTTAATACTTTGTACCAATTTCCCCAACGGTTGTGCTGTTTAAATTCTTATTAACTGTGTATGAGAGTTTTCATTGTCCATATCCCCTCTAGTAATTGGTATTGTTGTCCTTTATTTTTAATCATTTCATCGGAAAATATAATACAAATAAAATACATACAGAAAATAGGTTCCTGGATAAATGAACCATTTAAAGTAAATATCCTTGAAATCACTGCCTTGTTTAAGAAATAAACCTTTGCAATACCTGGAGGAGTCAAGATGGTGGAGAAATAGCAGGCTGAGACTACTTCAGGTCGCGGGAGATCTGGTAGATAGCTTATCTAAAGATTGCAAACACCTACAAATCCAATGGGAGATGGAAGAGAAGAAGAACAGCAATTCTAGAAACAGAAAATCAACCACTTTCTGAAAGGTAGGACTGGCAGAGAAGTGAATACAAAGGGACGCGAAGATAGACCATGGGGGGAGGGGCCGGCTCCCGGGAAGCGGCGGAGCAACAGAGCACAAAATCAGGACTTTTAAAAGTCTGTTCTGCTGAGAGACATCGCTCCAGAGGCTTAACTGGGGTGAAGCCCACACAGGGTCAGCATGGCCTCAGGTCCCGCAGGGTCACAGAAGGATTGGGGGTGTCTGAGTGTCGCAGAGCTTACAGGTATTAGAATGGGGAAGCCGGCTACAGAGACAGAGCCAAGGAGTGAGCTCACAAATCGAGGCTGGTTACCTTGAACCGGGCGCAGGCTCGGTCAGCTCAGAGCACGGCCAGAGGCCAGGGTGACGGGAGTAATTGGGCGCTGTTCTCTGAGGGCGCACTGAGGAGTGGGGCCCCAGGTTCTCGGCTCCTCCGGGCCAGAGACTGGGAGGCTGCCATCTTCATTCCCATCCTCCGGAACTCTACGGAAAGTGCTCAGGGAACAAAAGCTCCCGAAAGCAAACCCGAGCGGATTACTCAGCCCGGCCCCTGGTAAGGGCGGTGCAACTCAGCCTGGGGCAAAGACACTTGAGAATCACTACAACAGGCCCCTCCCACAGAAGATCAACAAGAAACCCAGCCAGGACCAAGTTCACCTACCAAGGAGTGCAGTTTCAATACCAAGGAGAGCAGCGTAATTCCAGAGGGGGAGAAAGCAAAGCACGGAACTCATGGATTTCTCCCCATGATTCTTTAGCCTTGCAGTTAATTTATTTTTTTTTCTTTTTCAATTTTTTTTCTCTTCTTCTGCTAAAATTTTTTAACTTTTACCCTTTTCTTTTTTAACATTTTTAAACTAGTTTATCTAATATATATATTTTTTTCCTTTTTATATATTTTCTTTATTCATTTTCTTTTTTTAATTGTTTCTTTTTTTTTTTTTTCTTTCTGAACCTGTTTTTATCCCCTTTCTCCCTCCTCATGATTTGGGATCTCTTCTGATTTGGTTAAAGCATATTTTCCTGGGGTTGTTGCCACCCTTTTAGTATTTTACTTACTCCTTCATATACTCTTATCTGGACAAAATGACAAGGCGGAAAAATTCACCACAAAAAAAAAGAACAAGAGGCAGTACCAAAAGGCTAGGGACCTAATCAATACAGACATTGGTAATATGTCAGATCTAGAGTTCAGAATGATGATTCTCAAGGTTCTAGCCGGGCTCGAAAAAGGCATGGAAGATATTAGAGAAACCCTCTCAGGAGATATAAAAGCCCTTTCTGGAGAAATAAAAGAACTAAAATCTAACCAAGTTGAAATCAAAAAAGCTATTAATGAGGTGCAATCAAAAATGGAGACTCTCACTGCTAGGATAAATGAGGCAGAAGAAAGAATTAGTGATATAGAAGACCAAATGACAGAGAATAAAGAAGCTGAGCAAAAGAGGGACAAACAGCTACTGGACCAGGAGGGGAGAATTCGAGAGATAAGTGACACCGTAAGACGAAACCACATTAGAATAATTGGGATTCCAGAAGAAGAAGAAAGAGAGAGGGGTACAGAAGGTATATTGGAGAGAATTATTGGAGAATAATTGGAGAGAATTATTATTCCCCAATATGGCAAAGAGAACAAGCATCAAAATCCAGGAGGTTCAGAGAACCCCCCTCAAAATCAATAAGAATAAGTCCACACCCCATCACCTAATAGTAAAATTTACAAGTCTTAGTGACAAAGAGAAAATCCTGAAAGGAGCCCGGGAAAAGAAGTCTGTAACGTACAATGGTAAAAATATTAGATTGGCAGCAGACTTATCCACAGAGACCTGGCAGGCCAGAAAGAGCTGGCATGATATATTCAGAGCACTAAACGAGAAAAACATGCAGCCAAGAATACTATATCCAGCTAGGCTATCATTGAAAATAGAAGGAGAGATTAAAAGCTTCCAGGACAAACAAAAACTGAAAGAATTTGCAAACACCAAACCAGCACTACAGGAAATATTGAAAGGGGACCTCTAAGCAAAGAGAGACCCTAAAAGTAGTAGATCAGAAAGAAACAGAGACAGTATACAGTAACAGTCACCTTACAGGCAATGCAATGGCACTAAATTCATATCTCTCAGTAGTTACCCTGAATGTTAATGGGCTAAATGCCCCAATCAAAAGACACAGGGTATCAGAATGGATAAAAAAACAAAACCCATCTATATGTTGCCTACAAGAAACTCATCTTAAACCCGAAGATACCTCCAGATTTAATGTGAGGGGGTGGAAAAGAATTTACCATG